GGAGGCAGTTCCCCCTTCAGGGGACTCCCCAAATACCTCGGGGCGTTTCGCGATGGGTTATGTGAGACCCGGTTCGGGTGAGACCCCGGCGGGTTCCTTCCCGGTTTGGTAGGGATAGGGGGTCCCGGTTCTAAGGATTACGCCACGCCTGATTATGGGTCCCCCCCCCCCCCCCCCCCCGCCCCCGCAAAAACAAAAACAGGTTTGTCGTGAAGCCATGGTCTCCCTTGTGCCACTCCGTGTACCCCCGCTCATTCCGCGACACCGTGCTGAACGTGCTCATGGCGAACGCTAGGGAAGACTCGCTGCCCGGCACTCTCCCGCCGGCTCTCTGGATGGAGGTGTGTGCAATCGACCTGCATGCCTGGACACGACCCGTCGTCATTTGAACAAATGCCCGTTTATGGGTCACGCATGAAATCTGGCTGGCCAATGAAAAGGCTGGCGTCTAGGCACGAGAAAAAGGAGCATGGAACGTTAATAAACGTATTCTGGTCTGTGTATCCTTTTGTCTCTCCGTGTGTTATGTGTGTGTGTATGTTTTTTTTTTCGGCATTGGATGCACTAAATAGGCCGCTGAAGACGCCTGCCGCGTTAATCTGTGGCGGTGGAAACCTCTTACGGTTGAGGGCTGTTTCTCATTCCCGGTGCTTGAACTCCCGTAAGCTACACGAGACGTGCAGTTGCCTGCACTGTTGGCGGGGCTTGTAGAGCGAGTTCGCGGTTTATTCTGGCACGTCGGTAGCAACGGGCGGATGTCGGCGTTTGGGATTCTTGAGCAGATGGGGGTCTCGCAGAGTGGGAGGGTAAGGCAGGAGGGGTTCGGGGGTAAGCGGAAAAACTCAATACATATGTGCAAGGATTCGGTCGTATATTCGTCGCGGTACTTCTAAGCGTGCTTGAAGCCTCTCGCGTTTGATGCAAGGCAAGTGCCAACCCCCGCTTGCTAGTCGATACATACATCAGACGTCTGCCGGGGGCGTCACGCGGCGGCAATCAACAAACACGCCCGATCACTCTTGATTCGCACAAATGAGGGTGCAGTACCGGTGGGGCTCGGGTTGGAACGCCACATGCGGGCGTGTACTTAGCCTGGCCTGGCCGCAGTCAACTCTGTCCTTCCAGTGCTACCCCTCCACGTGCCCCGACGGGAAACCGCGCAACAACAATACCATACTCCTCCTCCGTCTTACGTCTTACTTTATGGTGTTGTAGAGTGTAACGTGGTGCGTTGCACGTCACGACTTCCGGTGGTTTGTTTCTGAAATGTCGGCTGCCAAAAAAAAAAAACAGATCATGGGCTTTGCGCGGAGGGATTGGTTCTCAGAGTCCGCCATCATCCAGGAGAGGGAGGCAACCGCCAGAGCCAAGAGGACCAGCGGCGGCGGCGGCGGCGGCGGCCGGAAGGGAAAAGGAAAGGCAGCCAGGGCAGACGAGGGAGGAAGCGGTGGCAGCGTCGACGCTTCTTCTTCTTCGTCTTCGATTCTCACCTCGGGGTGTCTTGTTGGGGCGGCCAGGACGGTGGCGCTGCTGCCCGTTAGGGCTGGCAGCGCGGCGGCGACGCAGGTGAGAGTTAAGAAAGGGGGGTATAGGTCCTGCGGCGGTCGGGGTGGTAGGTTGTAGCGGTGCGATCCGTTGCGTCCTCTTGCTTCGTTAAGGAGTGCTTTGGTTTGGAAATAGGCAGGTCGCGGGGGGGGGGGGGGGAAACTTAGCAGCCTGACAAGCGGCGGAGGAAATAAGTGGCGGATGGGGGGGAAGGTGAAAAGCGTTGCACGCAAGACTTGCGGCTGCTGCCGTTGCGCTGCTCCACAACGTCGGACAGCAAATATTTTCATCCCAATCCAACGAAGAGCAAAAAAAAAGAAAAAAAGGAGGATGATTACACAGTATCAAAATAGGGCGTTTTGGTGGGACCTGCAACAAGGGTGCGCCCACCCACATACCCCCCCCCCCCTCGTTGCCCTTGTGTCCGACGTGGTTTCACTGCTGTTGCCTGTCTGTGTGTTGGCACCGTAGATGGGCTGCCACGTCAGCTGAAGACGATATTCCCCCGAGTTGTTTCTGCGTGGTCGGGCAGCCACAAGAAATGACATCACACGCGCTGGCTCTTCTCCCACGTCTTCGGGGATCTGCGAATCAGATTCAAGAGTTCAGGCCATGGGTACCACGTAAGTGAAACACGTCGGGGGGCGGGGGGATTTTCAGGGGTAGCATCATCGTCCAGCCCACCCGTTTACCCGCCATACGAGGAGAATGTCCAAAAGAAGCGCGAGGGGGGCGAAAAAGGCGGCCAGGGGAGGGATGAAAGACGACGGCTTCGTCGGTCGGCCTGTGGTGAGGTCGGGCATGTTTGTATGTTCTCCTTTCTCGTGAGAGACGACCAGCAGCAAACCAAACACCGGGGGGTGAGGGAAGGAGAGAAGGAAGGTTTCTGTTGTGTACATAAAAAATAATCGTTGAGACGTCGGTCATTCCAAGCCGAGATTACTCGGTGTCACCAACTGCGAGCAGCGTTTTTCTCGCCCCCTCAGGCAGGGGGCAGGTATCTTATACATATGAGCCCGCCGTTGGACGATCGGTGCTAGTTTTAGGGTTGTATAAAAGTTGCGGGGTGTGTATGTATGTATGTATGGTCGGGGTTTGACCAATCCCTGCGCAGAACGGAGCATCTCGCGGACAGGCCGCAAGCAAGCTCGTTTGGACGGATTCCACGCGAAACCGGCGGCGCTGCCGAGTCTGGTCCGTTCAGGTGGTTTATTGCCCCAGGCAAGATTTAGCGTGCTATTGTTCTACATGCATGTGCGTATTTGGGAGTGGACAACATTACCTGCGAGAGTGGAAGGGGTGGGGGGGCGGATGTGGTGGGTATCTAAAGGGGTCGACAAGAGTGTGTCTTCGCTTTTGGTTGTCTTTTGTATCGTTTGCCTCGAACGACGTAGTAGTATGTGTCCGCTCTCAGTTGGCACGTTCTCTCTCTGTATTCTGTGTATAGTTTTTTCTCCAAACGTCCCTTACTGCATTGGTTCGGCAGGCGTGTGTGTCCTGAGCATATGATGCGTGCTCCATGTACTATCTTACGTATGTATCTGTTCACGTGTTTGGCTTGGGTGCGCTCTGGCCGGCCTGGCAGCCTAGCGAAACGCTGAGCCTGTTGTTGTTTTCAAGACAAAGCCAGCGTGGGCCAATGGGGGAACAGTGAGGTGCGGGTTTGCCGGTGCCAGCGCGTAAATAAATGTCATTGGGCACAGAAAACGCCGCCACCACCACTCTACAAGATACCTACGCCTTAGGCTTGCGTCTGTGGGGAAATCCAAAGGGACTGCATGGTAGGATTTAGTGTGTAGCATCGGGCTGAAGTGTTTTTTTTCAAAATTTCGGACCCTCAAGTCGCAAAATTAATATCAAGCTCTTTACGTGCTTGGCGCGTTCAACAGCAGCTTTCGGAGAGAGAGGTGGAAGAGGGTAACGGAGGTCGGCGACTGCTGAAGGGGGGGGGGGGGGGGAGGGTGAGATATGTTCATACATAACGTCTTGTCAGAAAATGTCTTCACGCAGCATGTTGGTAAAAGGTGGAGGGGAGGTCCGCACCGTCCCTGCTATGGTCTCAGTCTTTGTTCCATGCTCGTCTTTCTTATAGTGTTTTTCCCTCTGGTTGGTGTTCGGTAGCGTCGTTTACTATATATGGAGTGGAGTAGTATCTGCAGAGTGTTTGGCTTCGTCCTTCGTTGTCCGTTTGGGCTTGAATCGGCAAGCAACGACAGCATCAGTGGGGCGTAGGTTGCGGTACGAACCGGTACGAACCGCACTACGGGGATCTTGCGTTGTTAGCAGAGGGTTTGGGTTTGGGTTTGGGTTTGGGGGGGGGAGACGTGGCGAGATTTTCTTCTGCCGAAAAATGAAATCGTTATCGTTCGATTGATCGTTCGAGCGCGAACCGACGGGAGATGATTTTATGCCTGTCGAAGGCCAACAAGCTTTTGACTACACGGTGAGTGCTTCTTACTCGCTGCAGTCAAACTTCCCTTGGCACCCAGATCTTCATTCAAAGTAAGTCCTGTTTTGACCGTCGCCGACCGCTCACCACCGAATGCATTGCAACGCGTGCGTTGTGTGGCATAGGCACACAGGTTTTTGCCCATTTCAGTGCCTGACAACGGCCGGGACGGAGCGGGGCAGGTAACTGCAGCAACCTCAATATGCTGGCGAGTTCGGCCTTTAGATCGTAAATGAATTTTGCCGGTTTTCAAAGCCAAAAGGAGGAACCTCTCTCCAGCTGGCGTCGCACCAACAGTGGGAATTTACGCTTCATTTCTCGATCCGCAGATCGTGGAACCTTTCAGGACCTCGCATGTACACGAAAGACCTGCGAGTCTCATCCAAAAGCAAGGGTCGACACGGATTTGTGTCGGTTGTTCTGTTCCCTTCTTTTTTTGCACAAACCAAGCAACACCTGCCAGTCTCATCCAAAAAGAGCCGACTTGGATGTCGTGTCGTGTCGTGTCGTGTCGTTTTTTTTTTTTTTTTTCCTTTTTCTTTTTTTCGCCCGCCGTTTTCGCCCGACCTTTTGCTGTCAGCCAGACTCTCTTGCGGCGGGGGGGGGGAGCACGGCGGGAGCGGGCCTCCGACGAGGCCGGGGCTACCCCGGGCAAACACAAAAAAAACAAAAAGAAAGAGACAAGGGACAACGTACACACACGTTTACCATAGTCGCTTCCACACGCGAAGGAAGTGAATCCAGAAGCCGACACGAACAATCATTTTTAAGAACCGTTACAATTCACATCGACACCGATGCGTTACATCCCTCCTGCCATCGCAACCCTCTGTGATTCAGACAACGCAAAACTGGCCCCCTCCGAGATGCAACAATCAGGTTCAAGCAGACACTTAATAAAGCAACTCTCGTTCCTGCTTTGCTGTAGAGAACCAATAACTCAGCGCGACGGTCGTCCCCCATGGCTCAAGACTTTGCCGGAAGTTTTATGCGTTAGTGCTGCTCCTGTAAACGTGACGGTCGCTCCCCCCTCCAGGTGCGTGCCAAGTATGGGGTGCGTTTCTACGCGCTACCTGTAGATGGAAACGCTCTTATCGCTTTCCGTCCCCGCCAAAGCCCAAACAACAAAATTTTGCTTCTCTGTGCGCAATTTTACAGGCACCAGGGGGGCAGTGGGTGGATGGATTCTCTCCCGCTCTCAGACCTAAGCTTGATCCAGGTAGGACATGGAACATGGCAAAATGTTAAAGAAAAAAACGAAGAACCTTGAGAAGGGGGAGGGATAGGGTCGGACACTTAAGATTACCTCGAACCGCCCGTCTACCCGCCGAGCACAGGCGGAACATAAAAACAAGAACCATAGGTGTACGGCCTGCAGTTGGTGCCCGTAAACTCTGCAGCAGCAGTACTGGCGTAACCTCGATAGCTGCCAAAGTGGAGCTGCCCTAGCCAGGGCAGGCTACAAAACACGCCATCACGAAAACCACAGGGTTTGTGGATCAATCCCAGCCGTTCCAGTAACCTGGAGACAGACACCTCTTCCGGCAAGCGGGGGGCTAAGATCATACCAGCAGCAGCAGCAGCGCCACCACCACCAACGGCAGCAAGGCAAGGAGCAGCAGGGAATAGTCCAGCAAACACCAAAGCCACGAAGGGCAACCACAACAAACTGTAATCGTTACGCATCTAACGAGCGTCGAATTCCAGCGCCATCCACGTGCTACACTCGGCTACAGAGAGATCAGAGCACAAACATGCCGCAAAAGGCCTGCTACCGCTGTGCAGCTTCAGCACTTGCTCCGATACGGAGCGATGACGCTGCCCCCCCCCCCCCCCCC